GGGGGTGAGGGGGGGAAGAAAACCCAATCCAGACTAGAAAAATATTTTCAGCAAATACAGAGAAGACTTATATCCTTATGCAAACGGACGATTAAGAAAACAGAGCCCTGCCTGCGTTAGATAAATGGGCAGAGGCCATCGGCCGCCGATTCCCGAGAAGAAAGAAGGCCCGTTCACAAGCCGGGGGGAGCTGGGCCTGCAGTAATCAAAGGAATGCAGGGAAAACAGCCCTGAGAGGCCCCTTCTCATCCATCAGCGCTCCCCGGGGCGCAGCGGTGTGGGGCGCAGACCCGCTCGCGTCCACGTAGGAGACCGCGCTGGCAGGCCCCTCGCGGAAAGCCATTTGGCAGGGACGCCGAAAACCTTAAGAGCGTTCATACTCTTTGACCCATTAATTCCAGTTCTGGGAACCGGGCCTAGGGAAATAACCCGAGAGACAGAAAATGCTTCCCACCCAGTGTTATTTATGATAGTAAAATACTGGGGGACGCCGGCAGGTCCTGCGCCAGAGGAATGCTTAGGAAAATTATGGTTTCTCCAATTGATGGAATATTATGTGGCCATTCTAAATATTTAAGAAGACTATGTAAAAACATGGAAAAATACTTATGAATGGTGCTACATTTTTAAAGAAAGCAGAATTCAAGGCTGTATAGACAGCCCGAGGTTTGAAAAACAGCTCGGGGGTTTAGATCTTTTTTTCCGAGCCCAATGCATGGAAAGAGCAGGAAGAAACGAGGCTTTTCATTTCCACCCCCCTTTCCCGCAGTCTGGCTGGCTGGGTGGGAGTTATAGATGATTTTTTTTTCTTCTTCTTTCTTCAGTGGACTTTTATGTATTTTCCAAATTTTCTTTAATGAGGTGTTTTATTTTCATAATGAAAACACAAACATTTTTTTAAAACTAGAAAATATCTTGTGATCCGGCAGCTTTACTTAAAATTGCTGACAAATAAAGTGGCGGGGATGGGAAAGTGCTGGCTCCGAGCTCCTCCGGGGGGCCCGGCCGCCCCCGGTGGGAGCCCGCGCGGGCGTGGGGGCGCCCGGCATTCCAGCAGAGCACACGGGGCGGACGTGCAGTCACGTACCGAGGGCTGTGGGCTGACCTGCTTATCGCACAGAGAAGTCAGAACACTCGGATTAAAAAAACATCTCTGCTCGCTCGCAGATGCGATAAAGGAGGGAGGGACCCTCCCTACCGGGACGTGGCTCCGGCCCGAGGGGCTCAGAGGGCCCAGGGCATCGAGAGGTCACCGAGCCTGGTCTGGGCTTGCCGCTGCTCCAAAGTGGGTCTCAGGGGCGAGACCCTCCTCCCATGCACCCAGATTTTGGGTCTCTTTCCCATCTCGGGTCCTGGGAGACCCCACAACACAGGAGGAACGTAAGGGGGGTCCAGGGAGGGCAAGTGGAGGGCCGTGGGGCCCCCTTTCTCCCTCTCTGTGCCCCTCTCCCCCAGCTCCCTGTCTCCCTTCCTTCCTTGGACCCAGCTTTCTCCTGCCCGAAGTCCCCTTGCCCACACTGGGCAACCCAGGGCAGAGCTGTACCCAACTGGACGCCAGAGTGGGGTCCGGTCCCCGACTGGGGGAGGCACCGGCCGCCCCGGATAATCCCCTGCTCACAGAAGGCCTTCGACAGATACCTGGAATGTTCACCTCCGAGCAGCGACGTGGAGTCTTTCTCTTGGGGTTTTAGGGGCCAACTCATGCCTCACAGGGCCTAACGCAGTGTCTCCCTCTACGGGCCCCCGGGCCCCAGCTCTGGGGGTGTCGGTTTCCTGCGTGACCTCGGTCCCATCCAGCCCGCACACTCGCACAGGCCCCAGGCCCCACACGCCGGCCCACTTCCTCCCACCCTGCACCCAGACCTGCCCGGGTCCCACACTCACTTGGGTCTCGGCTTCTCCTCTGGTCACCACAGCGCCAGCCAGCGTGGGGAGAGGGGAGAGAGAGACCATGTGAGACTGGGGGCCCACTCCTGCCCACGGGGCCCTGGGGTCCACCTAGCTGGGGGCTTTCTGGGCTCCGGCCTGGTCTCTCTCCAGCTGAGCCGGCCACCCCCCCAACTGACCCAACAGGACAAGAGGGTCTTGTCCCCACTCTGGGCCCGCAGAAGTCCCCGTGGGGTCCGAGGAGGAGAGTTGGGGTGGGGGGACCAGGACACGAGGAGGGAGAAGGGGTGAAAGAGAGACGGAAGGAGCAGAAGCGGGAAGTACTCGGGGGTCAAGGAGACCTCGAGAGGCAGGGGCCAGCGCAGGAAGCTGGGCGAGAAGCGAAGGTCTGGCCCGAGGGGCAGAGACAGGAAGGAGGGGGAGAGCCAGCAGCCCTCGCCCAGGCTCCCGGCCTGCTGGCCAGTCCCCGAGGCCACCCCCTCTGTCCCTTCCAGGAGCTTGGAGGGGACGGCGCCTGTGAGGCCCCACAGTCAAGCCTGTGACAATGGCCATGCCAAGCGGTCCGGCCTGTCCCTTGGAGGGAGACCGAGTGGGCAGCGGGCAGCAGGCAGGCCCGTCCTCTCCCTCTCGTGGGCACCCCCGCAGGGCACCGGGGCCCTTACCTTCCTCTTCCTCCCGCTCCACCTCCGCGGCGTCTTCTGGGCAAAAGCGCACATGCAAGAGAAAAGCCAGCCGGCGAGGCTGCGGGCGTTGGCGGGGCGAGGACTCGGGCATGGGAGGACGCGGGAGGCAGGCCTGCACCCCATTAGTGCCCTCAGCCATCCGGGGAGGGGGTGCAGGAGCAGGGTGTGGCCATGCTGTGGGGCCGGGGTGGCCTGGGAGAGACCCCCACGCACCCGGGAGGCCTGGTGGCCAGAGGCGGGCCCTCGGTGTCCCGTGGGTGCTGGCCGCTGGCTGTTTTGAGCGTTTCCTCGGTGGCTGGCAGGGCCTACCTTGGGAAGCCGAGAGCTTCCCCCCC